GATTAAATGGTACCGGTGCACCTGTCGTTCCTGATAATATCACGGTTTATAACTATATCGGTCATTTGGCGACTACTAGTGCCATCAGTAATACTATTAATGTTTTCATTAGTCCAACGGCTGATATTGGCATTGATAGCAATACTGATATTACTACTTGCTTGTTAATGGTACTACCACTAGAACGCGTATTTCGAATGACTCGCGTAACAGTACTGATTAATACTCGAATTTTCAGTAGCAGTGTCAACGGTGATAGCATTAGCAGTGATACCATTAGTGGTCTTACTACGAACGTCGGCAATGGCGCCACGAATGTCGAAAGCAGCTCCTCGAGTAGCAGTGCGAGTAGTGCTGGTGTCAACCGTTGGTTCGACTGCTGCTTTGACTGGTAGCGTTAACGCGGCCTATGACGTGTAAGCGCATGAAGTTTCGGCACAGATCGGACGGTTGTTGTCAACGCGCAATCATGTGGCTGGCCTGGTGGTTACGGCTTCGTTTAATCCCCACTCCTGCATTACATATCAATGAAAATCTGTCAATAAAAAATGAAACTTTTGTAAGATTTTCATTTCGTGCTAATTGATTCCATTTTTGTAATTGCTGGAGAGCATTAAGCCAGGATACAGTCGTGTGTTGCGAGTACGATTGTATATATTGGCAAATGCTTTCTTCTGTTCTCTTTCTAATTCTTCCCTCAAATCAGGGAGCGTACGAACAGCTTTCGATATTTATGCGATATAATCAGTACCAGCTCGTGAAACATCGCTTGTGACGAGATGCATCTGTCACTGCAGGTGCTCAAACGCCGCTGACCCAACCTGCTTAAAATGATGCCATTGGACAACTATGTTCAAGGAGGCGGAGCAAAACGCCGTGAAATTTGATTCGCTATTGGACAGTTCGCTGTTGTGCATTTTCGACGAGAGCTGCTGCGAATGATTGACAAGCTGCTTCGTGACGCCCACATTCATTGAATCATTCCGTCAATTGTAAATACATTCAACCTTTCTCAATTTTAATTCAGCCATCCTCGAAGCTTGCTGATCCTTTCCTGCTGCAGGAACTGCAGCTTCAGAAGTGTTGCCCTCTGCACTTGCTCTTCCGCCGATGAGGCAAACTTCGTGACAGTGACCCAAAGGTAAGCCGTACCAGCTTAATGAGTGGTAGACTCTAATAGACTCATCCGATCCTCAACCGTTCCGTTTCCTTGACAACGGTTTATCTGACTTGTTGAACGAGTTTGTTTTGAGCGTCTTCCCTATGGTGTACTTCTGACCGGTCTAAGCCTTTTTAGCAATGTAGAGCTGTTAATCTCTCAATGGTGAGAATGGGCGGCTCACCAACGAAAGTAACTCACGTTCAAAACCATGTCGGGTCATGTAACGCTAGCAATCATTTGAAGGAACTTCATTTACGTGGCTGCCATCCGCCGTCGTAATTTCGGTCTGCATAACTAATTGTTATGACTGGAGTTGAAATACTGGAGCAAACGGTTTGTCAGGAGTACTTATAAACTCAATAACCGTTTTGAGTTACAAAGTCGTTTGCTTCTGTGAACCCTCCCGCATTGAACTCCAGCTGCCATTCGCTGCCTGGCACTGGAAACTGCCAATTTTACGTTTCAAGTTGTTTTACCTTCCAAACCGTGATTCTGATGACATTTTCGTTTCAGGATACGCTCGAAGTGGGTCCTTGCCGTGGAGCACTTCCAAATCGTTCGACAGCTCAGTCGACAGGTGTTCAAAATTCCAAAGAACGTTGAAGAACTGATACAAATAAGTGCGTCTTTTGAACAGATGCTGAAGAACCGAACGTTGCGATGCTTGTTCAGTCAGTTTTTGGAACGCGAGTACAGCGAGGAGAATCTAATATTCTGGTTGGCATGTGAGGAAGTTAACCAAATCAAGGACTCAGCCGTAGTGGCTAAGAAGATCAACGAAATCTACGAGTCATTTATCACCAAAAACGCGCCTCTCGAACTCAATCTGTCGTCTGATGTACGGCTGCAGATCATCGCCTCGATCGGCAACCCCGACCCGTCGATTTTCCGCACCGCTCAGGATCAGATTTTCCTTCTAATGAAAAATGACTCCTACCCGCGGTTCCTCAAATCAGACCTTTACCTCAAACTGATGAAGTCCTTTGACGAATCGGGCCAGATTTCGTCCAGACGAACCATGTCTGAAGCCGACGTGTAGACAGGTGCCTTCATACTTCAGCCTTACGCGTGTACCGCCGTCGCTCTCTGATCGTAGCGTCCAGCTCTAATGCCGATAAAATATGATTGGAATGTTAATGAAATATGATTTGGAAGTCGCCGGAACAGCAAAAGCATCAAAATTCACATTGGGTTCAGAAACGGAATCAATTGTTAAAAATTTCATTACGATTTGCATTCAGCGTCGACTTTTGTGTCATCGTCATTTGTCGAATGCTAATTATTCCTACGTGGGGCTCCAGCAGGTCATCGAACTATCTGAACGTGAAGGTAGTTTATACTGGTTTGCGTGAAACGAATTATAGAAGAAATATAATGATTTTAGAAATGCGTTATAATAAAATGCACAAATATTATTTCACGTATTTAATTTCATTGCAGCAATAGTAGAAACACTGCAGACTGGAAAAAACTAAAAATTTTTAATTGAATTCAGAATAGAAATATAAAATGACGCAATGTCGCATTTTGCAACAGAAAAAACGTGCAGCAATGAATGCTTGTACATACAAAGCTTTTAATGTTTGAAATAATAAATTTTATGTGCAAATTTACTTTGGCCAGCGATTTCCTAATGCTTGACTCATGTTTACTATGGGCAGCGGTTTTCAAACGTCTATGTAAACGTTTTGTACATATTTATTTATAATAGTTTTCCACGTGTACGTTTTGCTGCGTTTGCTGAAATTTTTTCCTGGAGAAATGTACATGCATACGATTCGTTTTCGTTGTTTTTTGCTTCACCGCAGTTTCAAATGCAGACCATGCTGGGTTAAAAATTAATAATCTCATATTTGGCATTTGCAATTAACAGCTTCTCAAACTTGTCGAAAAAACTTTAGCGAAAATGCTACAGGGGGGAGAATACAGTTGATGAAAGGCTCTGGACCTTCAGTTGTTTCACCGTATTGTCTACCAGCTATGTGTATCCGACAAAGACCGGTGAAAGCATGTATTTTGGATAAAGGAGTTCCTAGGAAAATAGGCAACGCATCGTATGTGCAATGAATATTCCGTCTCAGTGGTGATAAGTGAAAGCAGGAGTGCGACCACGAACTAGGCAGGAAAATTTGAAACGGTAAATGATAGAGATAAATCTATAATTTCAAGTAGTGAAAATGATATTAAAATCTGGTGTCAACAGTCACTCAGTTTAGATCAATTTATTTTTTATGCGAAGCAGCTAATAGTCTGATAAGCATTTGTACCCTGACGATGCCATAGGTTGTGTTGCTAAACGCGCTGGTGGTAGAAACTCTAAAACCTATGTTGTTTGGTTCCCTCAGCGATGAATCAGCAAACCATTTGTGATTTCAGCAACGGTCCAAAATCAGGTATATTATATCGTGTTTATACCTGGACCATTCTTTTCATAGGCACAATTACTTTAGAAATTCTAGAGTATCAATTCAATCGCCATTGTTTCATCGGTTAACCGATAGCGGCTTATTGCAGATTTTGAGAGATAGCTTAATGGCTCAGTGGTAATGTGTTCTGAAGATCACTGGTAATAAACAGACAGAGTATTTCATTCGTCGTTGGTGGTTGTCGTGTTGTAAAAACAACGTATCAAACGGTTTACATATACACAACGCAAAAGACACGGTGGTCTTGTGACTCCTCGGCCAGTGTTTCGGCCCGTGTCTCAAGTGTCTTTTTCAAGGTAGGTTGGTGACAAAGGTTCGTGAATGTGGTTAGTTGTTCCCAGCAGCTGATGGTTCCGGAGCCTGCTGCGGATGGCCAGCCTCATTTACGAAACTTTACCACCAACCTGTCTTGATGAAGGCCCCTGAGACATTGGTCGACACGTCGGTATTGGGCATTCACCGGCCTGTCCACAGTGTCTTTTGCGTTGTTATAAGTAAATCATGCGTGACACCACTTTTCCGTAATGAATCGACGAAATAATCGTACAATTAATTCGTTTCCCGCGGCATATTTTATTGTTTAAATCACATTACAAGATTTGCAATACCTAAGAAATATTGATTACTAATCAAGTGCTTTCTCAATTATTTTCTGAACTGTGTTTAAATGAAATATAAAATCATAAACTGCTGCTGCCCAATTTCCTAACATTCTAGTGCATTACAGTGACTGGCTATCATCGAGTGGTCCAGCATGCAAGTTCTTTCACGTTCATCGAATTTCAAATCGGCAGACGTGAAAAAAATCATGTCCCGCCAGAAGTTCGAACCTTGAGAAACAGGCTTACAGGGGGAGGGAGACAGTCGACACAACGTCTTCAAAACGAACAAGAAAGGTGATATAATCGAATCGGTCTCTATTCTTTGTATTCGTTCATCCAAAAGTTCAGGTACTGTAGTTCCTTTTCCGACAGAACGTCTTCGTCATCGTGAAACTCCTCGAGCAGCGTGGCCAGATGGTAGATGGGGTTCAGGGGTCGCTCGAGGCAGACCTCGGTCAGCGCCTTTATCAAAGGAATGCTGATGAAGCGATAGAACTTGCGGCTGTTGTCGGTGAGCGGCAGCGACTTCACCAGGTTGACTCGCAACGGAAAGTCTATCGATGAGTTCCGATGGCACAACTTCAACGGCGACCTCTGACCTCTTAATCCGCCCTGACTGGTCGAAGCGACCTCTTCCGTCACTAAATCAGAATTTTGCGTTTTGAATTTTTAAAGGCATGAAAAGAACTGAAAAGAAACAGTAGTACTACGTGACACGTGGCCGTGAAATACAAGGCACCGGTTGTCTTACGGAACAAGGAACAAAATATTTGCATCTAAGGATGCGTGAAGAACATGAACGCTTCTTCATAGGTTGGTCTAAACGTACAGAAGTCGATGGCATGTTGTACATCTGCGATTTCGCTTCTGATCCTCCTGCAATCGGCTATTCGACTGATGAAGCTTCGTTTCCAGACTTCCAATATTCCGGACCTTGTTCATTATGATAAATCGGCATTATGATGAATCGATCATAAAACAGATACCACCATTAATTCGAAATCCAATTTGTCAAGAAGCTGTTTAATGCTGCTAGAGATAACGATATCGGATATGTAAAGCGGTACGCTTGGATAACAGCGAAACGAAAAATATTTGAAAGCCTGGGGATGGCAGTATCCAGGGGAAAGAGCCTTTCGATTAGCCCATCAGAAATGTTCTATCATTATGTGCCGGGGGCCGAAGCCCTGGTGCAGTAATCTGAATTAACGTTTCTTCTCTACTTTGCTTCCTGTGATCAAGAGAGACGTAGAGCATGGCAGAGCGGTCGTGTCACTCCAGTGTGAGAA